GCTGGTACAACAGTTCATAATCGAGTAGGATCTGGCACAGGAGCAGATGGCACAGCCCTTCACATACCTTGCTGCTTTGCTTCTGTGGCAGCCTGGAGGCAGTTCTTTAAACTTTCTATTCTGTCTTCCAATCTAAGTGCTGCTTTATTGAGAAACACTGGTTAAGTATGCTTTTAGAAGTGTCTCTTTAAGCAGAAATACTTCGGAGATCAGAACATAAGCAGCGAGCTTTTATGTGTACCTGAATGCCTTCCATGACTGTTTCTCTGTCCAACAAACCGTCAGTTCCTCCCTTTCTGGGAGCAGGAACTTCTGGTAGGGACACTTTTTGGCCAGGACAGCTCATCCCTCAAAGCTGCCACTCATCTAATATTTTTTTCAAGACTCCCAGTAACTAATGCTCAAGTTTCTCTGCCCTAATTTCATTCTGCAACCTAATTATTATTGTAATCTTTATGGCGGCAGTGTTCTGAAGGGATCACAGGTGACTTTTGAACAAAAAGGCATTGAGAACCACTTGTCCTGCTGTACTAATTTTCTTATTTTTATGCATTTGGAGATGAGAGCAAGCTAGATGAAAACCTGGTGTATAATTTCGTTTTCAACAGAAATTTAGGGTTTTGTGTTTGGTTCTTAACTTTGAACATTTGAGAATTTTTATTAGGGTTTTAGGTCACGTTTTCTGGAAATCTTTTTGAAGCAGAGATGGCCAAAGTTTAATACATTATACAATTCTGATTGTATAAGAAACTTAGATATACATATCTAAAGGGACTTCCTACTAGTGAGAGGATGCTAGAAGGGAAAGTGTCCCATTCAAGGAATGATGAATAAACAGGAAGTTTATCAACAGCTCTGTACCAATTTTCTGGCTGCTATGTCTGCTGCTTGATCCTTCACCTATTTTTTGTTGTTTTCTTTGTGAATAGCTCCACTAGCTTTCTGTGGTGTTGCTCATAGGTTTTCCAGACAGAGTGGGAGGAAGGGAAAAAAATACAGTTCCAGTTTCCTCTTCCCTTAACATATTGATGAGCATGTATGAATTTGAAAATCTTAAGGATCACTTGCTGAAATTACTTTAAAATTGTTTGCTGCCGGGGAGTTGTTATTTAATCTTCCAGTGTTTCCTGCCCTTATAAATGTAAGAAACAATGTTTTCAAATGTATCTAGTGAAGTTTGTATTTTCCCCATTCTTTTTTTTTTTTTCCCCTTGAAAATTTATGTAATTTCTCTAGTCTACTCAGTGCTGGTAAAACTTCCTTTTGAGTTCTGCATCCAGATCTGAACACTGCTGTACAAGAAGAGCTGACTCATTTGCAAGAGTTCACAAAATAGCAGTGGCAGTTGGAGATCAAGAAAGTATGATCTATGAGCCCAAAGACAAGTTTGAAGGGGAGCTAGTATATAATAAGTGTTGAAAGTTGTAAAATGTTCTCGCACAGAAGTTCTCTTATTCACAGCAAATAAGGGAAATTGCCAGATAATTCGGGTTAGATGTTAGGGGAAAATGTAAAATAATAGAAGCTGAGAAGATAATTAAATAGTTTGGGAAGGCTGTGGAATCATTAAGAAAAAATTTTTCACAGAAAGAGTGTTTAAACAGTGGAATAGGCTGCCCACCCATGTGGTGGAGTCACCATCCCTGGATGTGTTTAAGGGTCGTTTAGATGAGATGCTGGTGGATATGGTGTAGGGGAGAACTTTGTAGAGTAGGGCTAATGGTTGAACTTGATAATCCCAAGGGTCTTTTCCAACCTGAATGATTCTATGATTCTATGATCTCCATCAAAGGTTAGACAAATGGTTTTCAAGAAAGGGAACTGACACCCTGACTTGGGAAGGAAGCCTTAGGAACCTCTGCCCCTGTCTTTTTGAGGCTGAGTCATAAAAAAAACCAAAAAACAAACAAACAAACAAAAAAAACCAAAAAAACCCACAACGTTTTAAGGACATAAAACGAGAGTCATGGAGGAGCACAGGCTTTTTAACACTCAGAAATGTCTACAAGCTATTTTAGAGGCAAACATGAACTCACACAAACCAATTGATCTGAAAGAAGTACAGCACAACAAACGTGACCCAGTGCCATACTGAAAAGGCCCACTGAGAGTGATGCTATATAGTTTATGAGTGCCAAATTGGAGTCTTTATGTTGGCATTTTTTTCCTGAAAGACAAAGCAAGGTGAGAACAAGATGCCTTTTAATAGTTCTAGATGCAAAACAAGACAAGTAAAAACATTAAAATATACTCAGAATACTATAGTTAAGCTGCATTTAACTATTAAAACTTCAAAAACTTGTATTTGTATGCTTTTATTTCGTTCTAGTGGAAATTATATGCAAATCAAAATAAAAATGAATGCTTATGTGACAGAAATGTCTCATTTGATGTTTTCTATCATGACACGTGTGGAAACCTCTGCAGTGTGTTAGTGTGTATTTGTAGCATTTATTCTGTCCTCTGTAAGAACTGCAAAAGGCACGTACATGCAGATTTTTAATAGACCTACAGAAATTTTCCTTTTAAAATTATGCTAGGCCCAGAAGAATACTTCAGCCTACTGTAATATAGTCTTGAAAAGTATTTGCACTTTTGAGATTTTTTTTCCTTGTAGTTCACTGTCAGCTTTCTTGGTTACACAAAATACAACCGGTGCTCTGCTGATTATTACACATTATGTATTATACATTCATTTATCTTATTTTGTGTATTTTTAAATGAGAAGTGTATGCAGAATTAAGAAGAAACTTTTGAAGTGTATAAGTTTTTTAAAAAGACCTTTTATTTTTCAATAAAACAGTGCTTGCTTGCTAGATATTGTTCAGGCGAGGGCATTTTTTACATCCCCTCAAATGCCAGTGATCCTTAGACAGGCTTTGTTTGCATGTCTTGAACCTTGTCTTTTAAATACAGCAAGTGCCTTTATCCATGAGTCCTTTATCTGTTGGTTCAGATGTCTGTCACTAATTGTTTTATACCCCACTCCAGCATCACCAGCCTCAAATGAAGCAGCTGTTTAACAGTTAGCAAACCAGCTTTTTCAATTAACTCCAAGAAACAGAATGTATATAGAGATATAAATATATACCATTTGAATACACAGATACAGTTTATAAGGTGTGCAAGATAAGTGCCACCAGCTGCATTATATTTCAAGAATGTATTTTGGTACATGGAGATATGGCTGTACCTGAAAAACATGTCTGAGCTAGTCTTACGCAAAAAGTCTTTCAGTCCTTCCTGGCTGGTCTTAGATTTGCAGTTCTCACTGAGCTGTTGTAAGATTAAATTCATCCTAGAAGTGTGTTTTAAAATAGTGAATAATAAATTAATTAAGCTTTAATCCTTCTTTCAATACCCTGTGAAGTTGGTGCTGCATTTGTCACAGCAAGGGGATACACACCAGTTGTAAAAATCCTTCAGAGTCTGAATTTCCTTGTTTTTTTTAAAAAAAGTCATTCATAGAGAGGTCTAGCATTCTTATACATTCTACTGGTACAGAACATAGCACCACTGACATAGCTAGGTTGGTAAATACTTGAGAGAGATTCTGCTTAAGTAAGGCAGATTTTTGTCATGAACAGTACAGGTTTCCAGTGTAAATTCTGTGTTTTCTGTAAGTGTCTCTTCCATGATTTTTTGCTTGGCCATCTTAACTTACATTAAAATATGTTAATGACATCTTAACAAAATCTCATTGTAATTTATTTTGACATTGCAAGAAAATATTTTATGTTTGCCTTAATTTCACTTTCTAACCTTAGCATGGATCTGGTTATTAAAAGCTGCAAGTACACTTGAGCTAGGAGTCTAATGTATGCACACTTTGTTTCTGTTCTTCCTTGTCAAACTGTTTGACTCATTACTTATGTAGAAAAAGAAATCTTCTGAAAGAAGACCTGAGATAAAAATGAAAAATAATTAATAACCTCTATGTGTGTGTTTCATAGTCTTTGATTAATTCAGAAAACAAGTCAGAATGTAGAAATAGGCAAAATGCAGAAGTCTGTATGGCTCAATAAGCCAAACTGCTCTTCAAACAGCCTATACTGAGGACCTCAGAGTTTCTTTAGTTAGTGAAAACAAAATAAAAATTACATTATTGGAAGAATTGCAAAATAATATGTTTTGAATGTGGGATAACAGAGATTCTTTTAAATTTTATGCCCCAGCTTCCCTTTCACATTAGTACTGTAAGCTAGGCATAACCCTAGCATAGTGCTTGAGTTGAGTGTGTAGATGTAAAATTTTTTTTTCCTGGAGCTAGCACAAGTGGGTAAAAACAGAAGCAGGTAAAAAGAATAGTTGGAGGACCTTTGGAGAAAGCATGACAGAAAGGGAAGGCTTTGGAAACAGATTAGAGAAGACTAGAGAGACATGAGAACACAGCAATGCACAAAGAAAAATACTTGTCTGGTTCTTATGCTTTTCTTAATTTAGGTCTCTGTTTTACGAGGAGATCGATTCAGGTCTGTGAAAAACTCTGTTGCACCATTAGCACTGATCCTCCCACACAAGATGTAAGGGAGGAAGCTTCCAGGGGCACATTGAGAAAACAGTCTTTGTCCTCTGTGGTTTTATGTGGGCATTCATTTTTGTTATGTGGCATTACATATGTGTGTGTGTGTATTTAATGTGTAGGATAGCAATGTCTTATTTCTATGGGCATATTCTGGAAAAAGTGGAGTTCTCTTGTCTTTTTTCTAAACATTGAGGAAGTGTGGTGCTTGCTTTTTTTTTTTGTTGTTGTTGTTGTTGTTGTTGTTGTTGTTGTTACTTTCTGGTTCTGTATGCAACCTGGAAATAAAAACAACTGGTTCGCTATGCTATTTAAAATGTCTAGGTGACATGCTGCAAGAGATCAGAGAGTGTTTGTAAATAAAGTATTCATCTCCTCTATAGTGAAAAGATTACCGATAGACTTCTGTGTTGAAAGAGTAAGGCATGTGTGTTTTCAACAGGTGACTGAATTGTGTTTTGTGGTCTTTACTGATAGACACACAGAGCTGAAGAATCAGAAGCTGAAATGAGCAGCCAGGAGGCTGATGTTCTACGTTGCTGGAGATGTAGAAGATATATAGCAAATTCTGTTTGCCTTGCAAAATGTCATGGAAAAGAACCATCTGAAGTAGGTATAGCATACGGGGGGGGTTGTAACTTTTTCCAGTGCCATTGGTTTTAAATAAAGGAGAATTATTAGACTTCTCCTCCATTACTAATTAATCTCCTGTGGAGATAAGTACTAAAGTATGGACAATTCCATAGAGAGTAATGTAACCAGTAATGCTAGGGAAGCCGAGTATGCAGTGATCACCTTTGCATTCTGTGGCACAAAGGTTGTTATTCATAATATGTTTGACTACTACCTTGTGTAGAGTATATAGTGTTACCATTCGTCCCATAAAAATGCGGTCTGTTTTTGACAGTTCTAATGTAGTTACTTTTTGTCTCTTAACAGAGAACTCTCTAAGGTGTGTTTTAAATACTGATACTAATTTTCACTGCAGTACTTAAGTGTGTGTCAAATATTCCTACATCAGAAACTTTTGCTTTTATTTTAAAAATGTGGGGAATAGTCTGTGCATGAAAATAGTTCAGATTATTAGACTGCCCTGAGCTGGGGGATGCTCTGCCAGGCTAAAAATTCCGTTTAGTAATATACACCATCCTTATTAAAATAAACAGAAAAATAATCATACAGAATAAGACAATGACAGAGGCTTTTCTGCTCCTTTATAATGACAGTTAGTAATAATAAAGAATTAGAGTCTTTCCAAATATGCCAAGAAGACTGCTGACATCTTATGATCTTGAAGCTAAGTAAAAAAGCAAATAGAATGAAAGGTGTTGATCTTTTTTATTAATGCACTAGAAATGCAACAACATTATTTTTGGCACTGGAGAAGGGTATAACCAATAGAGGTAGAAACAAAGTTGTTATAAGATCCTGATACAATTAGTATTATTAATAAGCCCCATTTTAATCACTCTGCTTACAGAACTTGAGATTCTGGAATATTTTTCATGCTTTATACTTGAGGAGTTTTTATTTTGTGCATGGCTTGAAGTGGTTTTTGGTGATGGAGAAATTTCAACTCCTTTTGTGGAAAAACGGAGTTTTTCATAGTGAAAAGGAGGAGGTATCTTTGTACCCAATGGTGGAGCTTTTAATGGCTAGTGGAGAACCACCATCATTGTGCACAAGACAGAAAGAGCTCCTTCTCTAATTATGTAGATAGCAGGTAGAAAAACACAATTTAACACTACTTCCTAAAACACTGGGAGGCAGAGATTGTATTGTGATGAGAGTAATAATGTTTTCAGTATGTCAGTTTTCCCTGATGAATTTTAGAACTTCAGTCAAAGACACAGGTGAAATATGAGTAAAAAATAAAAATCTGAGAACAAATCTTAAAACCAGATGTTGATATTACGAATGCAGTGTGAACAGTTTAAATCAGAATTGTATCCTAGTTGAAATACAGGTACTCTCCACAGAAGGGAGGAAGATGATGGCATAGACATGGCAAAAGGATCTATCTTGTCTGCTGTAATTACTTGAAGAATGTCTAAAAGCTTCTGTCTTCCATGTATAGCCCCACTTTCAATTTTTAGCATAATGAAACTTTTATTCCCGTGAGTTTCATAACATACGAGTCAGTGATTTTCCATATTCATAAATTTTAACAACTGATTTTAAGATTTTAACATAAAAATTCAAAAGTTACTAAGAGTCCATGGTTTCTCTGCTATTCTAACAACCATTAGAAAATTAATTTAAAACTATTTGTGGCATAGTTATGCAGTACTGACTCAGTCTTCATACAAACTAGAACTTAGATTTTTGTGCCTTTACTAGAAAATTGTGCCAGCTGATAGTGCTTTTGATATAAATTTTTGAGTACAGTTGGAAGGTTAACAATTGCATACTTTCTGTTCTTGTAAACAAAACAAAACCACCTCTAATCACCACCATCTCCACAGTGGAGTCTGTTCAATGTCCTTAGATTCAGAAATAGAAGATTACTGACAGCATCTACCTGATTTTTAGCTTAAAGAATGCACCAGCTTATTTGAGTTTTATAATTTGTTAATAAAATATTTACTGAATTTGGGAAGCTGACTTCTGTCTATATTCAAACAAAAAAAGCTTACATGAGTGTTGAATATCAATACAATAATTCTTTTTTTAACAGACATCACAACTTTCAGCTGCTGCTCAGGAGTCTTGCAATGTGTGGCATGTGAACTTAGAAGACATTCCAGAGTGGGTGAAATGTGTCATTGAAAAGGTAGATCTTTTTTTGCTTTCATCTTTATCATTCAAAATGTGAAATAAGTAAGGGGAACAAATTTCAAGGGCACTTTTCTGCCAAGGTGCATGTATATTACAGATATCTTCTAAGTGACAATTTTTTTCTCAGTAACTTCTATCATTACATTTACAGAGGCTTTTTTCCCTGTTAAATTAGGGGTTTTTTTAAGTATGCACAAAACCTCCAATGATAAATTCTGTTCCTGCCCATGTATAGATGACTGTATTTATGTTTGTCCAAATAATTGTCATGGGCACCTCTGCATATTTTGTCAATGCTTAAAATTATATTTATTATCTAGGCTTTGGGGTTTGGTTTGTCTTGATCATCATATCTTGCAGTACTAATGCATATGTTGACAGTGACAGGAAGAAGCACGTTTCTCCATAAAACTCAGCTGAGGGGTTGTTAAGAGATCTGTTGTTGGAATATGATGTGTTGCCTTTTACAGTTAATGTGGTAATATGTCATATGAATAGAAAGTACCTTCCTGCAAATTCAAAGGTCTGATGACAAACCAGTGTCGCTGCTTTTGAATTTTAACTGCCCATTTGAAATTACAAACCATCTCATATCTTTCCTTTTGAACTGACTGCTCCAGTTCGAGTATTTTCTTTAAATTAGTTTAGGTCTAGAAGTTAATATTGTTGCACTGATACATAAGAAACAGTGCTTGACTTTGGTCCTACAGTTTTCTCTAATGAGTCTTTCAATTTGAGAGGAAAATGATATCTGCCTTCCCTTCTGCTTGGAATTCAGGGTCTAAGTTATACTATATTGGAATTAACTTCTGATCCAAGCAAATATACCCTGAAAATGATACACAAAGAAAAAGTTGTTGTGAAAACTAAAAAACTAAACTAAGTATTAAAAAATTTAAAAAATTTGTTTAATCTTGCTTCATTGTTTTGCTCTATGTTTTATTTTGTTAAACATTAAACAAACTCTTTTTTAAATTAATGGTCTCTTATACTTCAATAGTCCATGTCAGAATAGTGTATCTGTTTCAGAAACACAGATCTTGAGGGAGCGGGGGAAATTAGGAGTGATGATGTATTTCCCCACTTTACAGAATTGCCTAATCATAAGGATGCAGTCTTTTACAGTACTTTGCATGTTATATTATTTCAGTAAAATTGATTTAAATATTGATACTAGTGTTCTTTCCACCTTTAGCTGTAAATGGTCAGCCTTCTGCATGTGAAAGCCTAGAGAGTCAGGTTGTAGACCTGGGAAATACAAAACCCGTAGGCTGCTCAGAAAAGACTTAACATACTTGCTCAAGATTGCAGAGAAGCAATGCTCCTCTGGTGGCAGAGAATTTAATTCTTTATAAACACCTTCAGTATCTTAGTGTCCATTTTGTCCTTTAATATCCTGGGAACTCTTGCCTCATTAACTTCTGACTTATTTGGAAAGATCCTATGGGTTTATGGATAAATGTGTGGGGTTTTTAAATAATTCTGACTTATCCCCAGATCCTCCTGGGCTCTGAATAATTTTGTAATCATGTGTTATTTTCTCCTGTATGACTCCTGAATCAAAGGCTAAATCATTTTACATAAGCATAAAGTCTATTTGCAGGCTGTAAAAACCCACTGCTTCCCAGCCAGTTCTTTTTTGCCATCTGTCCCTGTTCTTAATCAATCTCATTGGGTTTCTTACACACATTAATGTAGAGTTTATCCTAAATAATTATAAATATCCAGCTAGTGCTGCTAGTGACCTTTGTTGACTTCATTTTCGTTTCCCCATCCCTCATCACTTGTTTTAGCTTCTTTGGCTAACCCTTCCCAATTTCTCCTCTTTATGCAGTCCGTCATTAAGTCTGTGTACCCTCAGCTCCTTTTCAGATCTTACTGATTTTCCCCTACCACCTCCTCCACTATAGGCTGTTACTTCTACTGAGTAGATGATTCCACAGTTTGTTGCCAAACTTATGCTAAATCAGTCCCGGACTCCCTTGTCCTGCACTTCATCTCCCAGTCTCTGTGCACATAGGACACAGAGATGTGCTTTTTCTTCCCTACCATCTCTTGCATTCCCATTTTGCCAGTTCCTAGCCTTCTCCCCTAACCATCGTGTACCATTCCTCCTCTACAATTGGAGATCCAGGTTACTATTCCATAGTGCCTCAGTGCCAGAAAGATTCACTAAAGGCACTAGAAAAGTCCTTTTCCCTGAATTTTAGTGCCTATCCCATGGCATCTGGGAAATGGAGAGTGGGAGACTTAAGGTAAATCTCTGAACCTGCTTAATTCTTCTTTGGGAATGGCATGTACACATGTTGGTCAGCCTTATAAACAGAGAGACTGTGCACATTCAAGGGATTTTCAGGAATCTGAATGCATTTGGGCATATGTGAACAAATATGAGACTTTTTTTCTCTTAAAATCATGTCTAGATTTAAACAAATTCTTATGTGTGATGAAAAGCATATCTTTGATACGTTGTAAAATTTTGAAGTTTTAACACACAAGGCAGGAGTAAGTTTCTCAAATAAGTGTTAGCAAAACTTTTTCTAGCATTTCAAGTGGAAGATAACCTTTTTTTACTCACAAGTGTTTTTTTCTGAAACTGCACATTTGGTTTTACTGAAATCTCTGAAGCTTTCAATCAGACAAATCTCAGTCATGGAATCCTCTTTCCAAACTACCTTGAAAGACATTTGCAACTGAAAGCAATGCTTTAACTAGAACTGTTGGGCAGCTTCTGTATTCCTGGCTCAAACCCACTTTAGGCACACTAGTGAGTAATGTATGAGTGGAGTTGATAATGTTCCTCATTTGGGTTTTGATTCTACAAACTCTTGCGTAACTTTAATCTTCAAAAATGTTTTGTCTGACAGATGAATATGTTTACTGAAAATATTAAATAGTTGTGCAAATATGTAGGAGTTTATAGATCTTTGATACATATTTTCTTTGGAAAAAGTGCCTTTAGGATTGAAATGAAATTCATAAATTACAAATAATGAAAAAAACTGTCTCCTTCTAGAGTAGTAAGGATTTGTCATAGTATCTGCACACAGATTATGTTGTAATACTATGTACACTAACATACAAGTACCATTTCAAGTTTTCATTGGGTAAGCAAAGTAAAAAGCTATATGCTGTTTGTAAGAACTATCCTTCCACTGTACTTAGTATGCAAGAAGGGTATCAGCACTCAGGAGACTCAGCGGAGAAACTGTGCTTGCCAGTTCCAGATTAACATGGTAAATTGATTTCACTGCTTTAAACATTCTAATGTTTCTGTTAGTATTGCAATATTATTCTATCTATGTACAAATTTAAAACATATTTCAAAGCACCTATGTTTTGAAACGTGTATTCTAGATTTCTTAGAATTAGTTATCACTGCAGCAGAGGTTTGATCAGAACATTATTTATGATAGATTTTCTTTCTGCTGTGAAGTCTCTTTTATTGTGTTTGAAAAACAAAAAGCAAACTCTTTTATTAAAGGAGAAAGTAACTCTAGTAATGATTTACAATGAATGTGTTGGGGTTTTTTCCTTTTCTTATCAATAGGCACATTGGACAATTGGAAAACTTCACTGTCCATTCTGCGAGGCCTGCTTAGGGGGCTTTAACTTTGTTTGCAACACAAAATGTTCCTGCGGACAGTTAGTAAATATACATTTCTGCAAAAGTCGAACTGATTATCAGCCAGCTTTGTCTGCTAAGTTGGAAAAATCATCAGGAAAACACTTATCTCTCCTCAAAATTCAATCTGGTTTTAGCAAAGATACCTGTCATGAATTGGTAACTGCAACTTTGGAAATCAAAAATCAAGGGCTTTCATACATGGCCAGAAATAATAATGGCACTGGAAGATTAACAGAAGCACTTTGTCTAGAAGTAAGAGCTCCCAGATTTGAGATTAAAAGTAAAAGACTTCCCTTAAAGGTATTAAATCAAGAAAGAAATCTTTCTGCTTCCTATCCTATGAATGATGCATCCACTGTAAAACCTTTTCACAGAAGATCACGTAGTTTCGATTTAAATACCACAGAGAGGCTTGTTTTGTTACCTGCATTATATGAAACTTGTAGTATGGGAACAATTTACCATGGCCGAAATGAAAATCCACCTGTTTACACACGAGCTGGATTGCAATTAGAGTCCAGTTGGAAAGATGATAGTTCTTTTGAGGGACGATATAGTTCCAGTGCTGACAAACTACAAAAAAGGTTTCGAGTTACTTCCTTTACCACATTACTACACAGAGAAACAGAAAGTGAATGTGATTTTGAAACTACTGGACAATCTTCTGGGAATGCCATTGCTGATGGGTCACCTTTTGTGATGAACCTTTCTTCATCACCAAGTTCTGTAGAAGAGGAACAATACAGCACACCTGTTGGTCTTATGCAGCCTACAAGAATTTCCTTCAACGAAAAGCTGAATAAGAGAGAAAGAAACAAGTTGAAAAGCTTGAGGAGAAAACAGAGAAGGCGAGAACGGTGGCTACAGAAGCAAGTAGGTGTTTAAAATTAATTATGCTACTTTTTTTGTAAAGTTTGGCTTGCTCTTATAAATCATTCTGACTTTTTTTGTGTGCTGTCTCTTAAGACTGGTTTAAGATGGTACTGTCTGGAGTCAATTATCCTGCAAACAAGGGTTTATGACCTCTTCTACCTGTAGTTTTCCAATTCAACCCAATCACCTTTTCTGTGTAAAATCAAATCTTGATGGGTATGTGTACCTAGTTTCTGTTGTCCTTCTTGTTTTGTGATGTAATAATAGATTTGAAGTGAGAAAAAATGCAGTAAAATTTAATCAATGTAATTAAAGGCAAACTAAATGTTCAAATCTTCTAAATGAGAAGCCCTAGCATTTCAGGATTTTCTAACTTTTAGGTAATGACATTTTGAGTTAACTTTACAGTTAAGAAAAATTTATTTTTTAAAATATGATTGTATTTATTATTTATTGTAACACAAATATTTTTATTTAAGTAAAGAATTGATTGTTGCTATTTAAAATATTAGTCTTTAGTAGGTAAATATTTTGTCTACAAATCTAACAGAAATTTTACATATTCTTACACAACCATGGTTTCCTTCTTTAAACCATTGAAAGCAGAACAGAATTAAAGACCATAGATGGTCATGCAATTTTTCATGGGGGTGAAGGGAGAAAGATCAGGACTATATCTTAAAATTAATTACCAAGGTTTTGTTTGCTCTGAAATTCACTGGAAAGACTAATGATATGTATGCCTTCAAAAGAAAATTTCTGATCATTAAATTTCTGCTACAAAATACTGTGTGGCCAGCAAGAGCAAACATACTAACAACTCTCATCAGTATAGATATCATTCTCGCTTTGGGTAGGTATGTCATTGTGATAATCTGAGAATATTCCACAGGTGAAGTGCAGTAACATGTAAAGCTCATGTAAACCTTATCTCACAGATTATTTTTTTAAATGTGATTTAATTTACATTTTATACTAGTCAAGTCTAATTTAATATTTATGCCTTATTGAGAAATAATAAGCTTATTTGAATGGACTGTGCTTAGGTTAGCTATTGAATTGTTTTCATTGGTTTACATTTAATGCAATAGGATATAAAAGACCAGTAGTTCACATATGGATCTTTCATTAGTCATTAGTACCAAGATTATTTTCAACCTTAGTATTCTGCTGTCCTTTACAATTCTACTCTGCTCAGGCACCAAATTACTTGAGCTCTTTCCAACATACCGTCAACAGAGCCTTTAGAATACAGTACAAAATTGAAGCAGAGCAGTGAACTTGTGATCAAGAGAGAGATACATAGACGCTGTCTCTAAATTAAATATAAGAACCGCCTTGAAAATACAACGTGTCTGGGACTTATTAAGAGAATTTTCAGTATGGTGTGTGTATATATTCTTTCATCGTTGTGAAGGTTTTTTGTTTTGTTTAGAGAAAGATTTAAATTGGCATTGTGATATATTGAAAACTTATTATTTTGTAAAATGCTTCTCTGAGACTGAGAGCAAAGAACCTTTCTGAATCTGGATGTTTTAATATTGAATAGTTGTTTTCTAGTTAAGTCTAAAGATTCTTAGGTGTCTGAGTCCATAAAATAACTTTTAAATTCCAGGCCTTATTGTTTCTGTTAAATGAAATGATGATGCAAAAGCACAGTATATAAGCATCTGCACAGTTGTGTCATCTGCAGCTTCTCCAGCCACTTTAATCTTTGTTAGATTTCACTTTCAATAATAAAATGTTGTGGAAATATTCCAAATTTGTGATAGCTAAGAAAGAAAAATACCCTTTCAGATAATTTTCTTGTTAAACCATGCTTAACTATTCCTACATTATTTTTAAGTTTCATATAGCAAATGATACACAGTTGTTAAATCTAGTATGTCTAATCAGTAAGCATACAGTTTATAAAGTACAAAAAATTCAAAAATAATTATGTAAAATAAATCACCTGGCTTTGAGTAGAAGTTTTGAGGGGAAAATATTTTGGGTTTGCACTGACTTCTGTAACCTTGGTGAAAATCTGTGTTTGTGGCATGGAATATTTCAACAGGCCTGCTTCTCAGACTGTCTCAAGCAGCACATGTGGCTAGTGCAGCTGTGTGTCCCATCACTGTTGTATCTTCCCAGGAAAATGTGGATCTAGAAGATCACATCCTCTATACTGTCTGACATGTTGCAAAAGGGGATACTCCTCTGCCACACACTCCCATGTGCCAGTCTAGGTATCTTTCCTTTTCTTGTGAGTTCCACTTGGTGGTCTTTTTCTTAAGCATTCTGACACCTCTCCTTGTAAATATGTGCTTTTTGTTACAGTGGTACTTAAAAGAGGAAGCTGATTTGTGGTACTTTGTAACCATGATCTCCAGCATACTTACCATGTATACTTAAGCAATCATATAGTAAAACTTAACAAAGATTAAAAAACATAACCGTCTGAATTTTGATAAATGACAGTGGGAAGTATTTCATTTAAGTGGTCTTTTAAGAAGTGCTTCATTGGAGCAGAATCCTGATGTGAGGTGAATCTCTTCTAAGCTCTCTCTGTTAAAGGTTCCATGTATCTCATTTTTATCTTTAATTAAAGCTTTTCTGAATAGCCTTTCAAGAGAATGGACCTGTTCAGTCTTTGGAATTTCTCTGTAAATGCATACGCAGCTTCTCTAAGTTTATTTTGTAAGGTGATAACTTTATCTGTCAAATGTTTTTTCTGTCTTGCACTAAGCTGAAATGTGCCCATAAAAGTTGTGTTATGGCAGAATGCACTCTATTATTTATTAATTTGAAGTAAATAAACCTTGGATTGTAAACAGGAGCGATTCTGTGAGCTTCCTGCACTTGTGCCCGGAGGCCTGTGCTGATGCAGGCTCTGGGGTGTGGGTGTGGGACTGAGCTATCTCGTTAACAGCAGAGGGACCCAAGCTTCCTCTGTCTGCCCTAATGTGGGAAAGCTCTTAATACTGTGAGGGGGATACTTGCATTTTGTGTGTTCATGCACACACTTGTGTTCATGGCATGTTTTTAGGTTTCTGGTACATTGTTAGGGTATGATAATAACCATTTAAATCTAGGAATTGCCAATATGGTTCTTATTACTGCTATCGCTAAGAAGATTAAGTATTTATGTTATAAATTCCCTTTTGTGTACATCTTGTTATATGTTTGCATTGTTTACTAATGTCTGAAGCTTGTAATAACTTTCTGAAATATCTCAGACAGAAATACTATTTGTGATTCCTCCAATTTTATTTCATTTCTCTTCACAATCATTTTACATTGAGGAGGATTGTGTCATCAGCTTCAGAACTGCACTATCCTCTTGGAAATGATCCTGATCCATTGGAAAAAATATTATTGGCCTTTTTGCTTCATTTTATAACTTGACACATCACCAGTTCTTTTGTATCTTTTTTAAAACACGAAAGTTTTTTCTTACAAAGGTGACTAGTGGTCGGTTTCTATGAAGAGAGTTTGCTTTCATACTCCCAACATTAATCCAAACTCAGCTTATAACAGGTGGGTGAGATACTGCATTGTTTATCCACACTGCCAGGTGCTGTTATTGTGCCCTTCAGCCTTGAGTTTTCAAGTCCATACTGATGTTCTCTTGCAACTGACCGTCTTGTTGTGAAGACGCTAGGTTTCAAAGGTTTAACTCATGACCTTAGTTCACTTAATCTATGCTTGTCTCTTTTTTCATGTGTACATTGGTTTCTAATTCTTGCACTGTTGTGTTTGCATTTAAACTGTAAGTCTTTCAGGTGTCTTGTCATGTGTTTATGTACTTGAATTTCAGTCACTCTTTCTATGATGATACTCATAACAAGAATTATTCTCAGACTGCTTATGGATTCCTCAACTGTCTGTTGGAGAGGTAAAAGCATTATTTAATGTTGGTGCCAAAGTAAAGCAAGAAGCAAAGGAAGAGAAATTAAATCACAGGTGGAAGAGGAAAGCAATAGCTACAAAATCTCAACTGTGACGTTTGTTAGGAAAATATGAGGTCCTGGAGGAGCTGCTTAAAGTAAGGAAAGAAGAAACACAGAGGAAAAGTCCTAATCCCATACGCTGAAATCACTACCAAAAGATAGTGGATTTAATATGAAGTAATATTCGGTTGCAGTGACTGACAAGCTGTGAATCCTCAAAATTAAGATTAAGGGATGTAATAGTGGGAGAGCCTTTTGACTTTGCGCAGCTGGTACTATATCTGCACCAGCTTTCTCATTCACTTCCTCAAGGGACTGTAAGAGAAATACAGTTCAAATGTTACTATAGACCTTTCTAACTTGAGAAAGGTGGGAACTCTGATTTCAGTATTCAAAACCACTCCTGCTCTGGTTAAGTGCTCAATATAACATAGCAGTTTTAAAATTCTGTACTTAACTGGTTGATCTTACATTTAAAGCACAATAAGCTTTGAGATACAGAAGAACGAAGTGCTTCTGTGTTTAACATGTAGTTACAGAGTTCACAGTCCCTGATAGATATATTGTTTACTCTTTATGAAATAGTATATTGCACTGATGGTGCTGTAGCATTAATGATTGAAACACACATTGTGAATACAAAGCCAAGAATTTGTTCTTTGTATAACAGAAGTCTAAGAGTGTGATTATTGTTAGTCCAGATTTAATTGCTAAAGGAAAAGGAAAGAATAATATTGCCATTGAGACTGTTACAGGCACTCAGTTGTTCCTCCCTGCTTTCTGTGGTTCTGTCCATGGCACTGTGCTTTGGGATGGGGGGGG